AAAAAAAAAAAAAAAAAAAAAAAAAAAAAAAGTACTCACCAAAATGTTAAGCTAACTCTTCACAAGACTAAGAAGCCAGATAAGTGAAATTTTAAAATTATCATTATCTTCTCTTCAGTTGTGGATAACACATATTTATGATTAGTAAATTGATACGAGCTTATATACGGGTTAAAAGCAAATATCTCGGTGACAGCCTATGATCCCTTACGTGAAGGAAGTCCCGCCACAGTCTCTGGGTTCAATACAACAAGGGAAAAAAAGTAGCTGCCTCCAAGAAAGTGCGCTCTTGCCCATTCTCAACCATGGGTTGGTGTCATTTACTGTCCTTCAGACACTGAGGGCCGGTGAGAACGGCCCAATCAGACTCACAACCAGAGCGGAAGGGGCGGGCTTTCACCTGCTCCGTGGCCTTTGTAGACGGACCGGACCGCGCCATCTTAGGGTCGATTCCTAGGGTCCTTCTCTTCCGCTTTGTTGGCTCACGTGACTACTTCCTTCCCCGTCGCCCTTTGATCTGCATCGGTGGCAGATCCACCGGGAGATCGCTGGAACCCCGGAAGCCGAAAATGGTGAGTGTGTGCTCCGACGTCCAGAGACGGGAAGAGGCCGTGTGGAACCCTCGGGACCGGCCATGGCTGGGCCGGATCTCTGCAGTCGTCCCCGTAGTCTGCAGGCCCCAATCCCCCCGGTTGCCAGGTTTTCTCTGCTCTACTCTAGCATGGAGGATGGGCTGCACCTGCGCCCCGGGCGTCCTGTCCTGTCCCTAAGGGGTGACTCCGCCCTGCGCGAGAGGGAGCGGCTGAGCTTTAGGGCCCCTCTGGCTTCTGGGTGGGGTTGGGCCCCCTGCGCGACCCGGTAGTACTGTCTGTCCCCGCGGAGCGACTTCATTCGCCACCTGACCCCTCCCTAGCAGCCCTACATCTCCCCAGGTCGTGTAGTGAGGACCTAGCGGATCCTCGGATCCCTACTTCCTTGTGGGGTTACTGTGTTAGAGGAGCTGTCGTTCGCAGGGTCCCCAAAGCCCTCCTTCCCCCTGAGGGGTCACTCATTTTCTCCTGAGCTTTCTACGTGTGTAGGAAGTAGGAACCCAGAGCCTTGCCGCGCCACCACCAACACCACTAACCAAGCTTCCCCAGATCTAGCAGCATCCTCCTTAAATTCTATTCTCTGCACATATTTACCTTTCTTTTTTTTTTTTTTTTTCTGTCCTGAGGATTAAACCCAGGGCCTTAGACCTTCTGGTCACACACTAACACTGAGCTGTGTCCCTAATCCCAAACTCTGCAATTTTGATTGTGTTGTTTAATCCATCCATTTAATGCTATTCTTAATGTGGTTCGGCTTATATTGGCGTCTCTGTTGCTCTGAACTATACAAACAATTCTTACATCCATATGGATTTATCTCTGGATTTCGTTTGTATTTTTATTCCTTGGTATTTGTTATTCCATTAATATTGTTTCATAATATGTGTTAGTATCAGGTGATGATAGCTATGCGTTACTCTTATAATTCAGAAGTTTCTTGACTATTTCATATATGCATATTTTCATCTTTTGAAAGAATTTGAGCATTTTTAGGTTTTGGTCTCTTCTATTACAAATTATGCATATTAAAATTTTGATAATATAGATGAGAGGGAAATGGTCACTTGTAATGGATTTTATTCATCTGCACATGGTGCATGTAATTGTTTTTCTATGTGCCTTTGCAAATTTTTATTTTTTGTTTTCTTGTTTGTTGTTGTTGGTACTGGGGATGGAACTCAGAACTCAGGACCCTTGTGCTTGCGAGGCAAGTGGTGGAACCACTGAGCTAAATCCCCGGCCCTGCAAATTTTATTTTTTATAGATTCTGCGTTATTTCCTTTGTTTTGTTTTTTTTTTTTTTTTTTGGTACCAGGGATTGGACTCAGGACCTTGTTCTTGGGAGGCAGGCATGGTGCCACTGAGCTAAATTTCCGGCCCTGCCTATTTCCTTTTAATAACATGATATATGTGAACTATCTCATGCAAGTGACAGCTATATAAAATTGATGTGGAGTGTTATACTAGTTATGAATTGGATGTTTAATACCTAGAATGTGGCCTGGTCACGGAAAGTCCCCTTCCACTTCATTATATCTTTTTCTTGACTGTAGTTTCTCCCGTGCCCACCCGCTGGATTTTGTCTCTTTGTATCAATACTGCTACATCCTCATATGTAATTATGGCACACATAATTTCTGTACATCTGTACATATGGTGGGGAATATCAGCCACGCTGTTTGCCCAAATGGATAATAGCAACTCTCCATTCATCTTCAGTTCATGAGATTTCAGTTCTATGTCTTCATCGGTAGTGTTTGTTTGGCTATCTGATACGATTTTATTTTATGTTTTTCTGATTTCTAAAGATGTTGAACATAAATAACTTACATAAAGTGCCTTTTGCCTGCCTTTCTTCTGGAGTCTCTGACCTCTCCTTTATTATTTTTAAAGTGTTTGGTCATGTGAGACAGTAAGTTTCTCCCAGTCTGCTACTTCTTTTTGCACCCTATAATGATTTTGTTTAAATAGAATTCATATTTTAATGTGGTCCAAATTTATGCATATTTTCTCATTTAATACTGTTATGTATTTAAAAATAAATTCCTGAAACTTTTGAATGCCTTATAGTTTGCATTTATATTTAGGTTTTTTTTTTTTAACTCTGAAAATGATTGTATGATATTGAGAAGTGATACAGTAGTATTTTTTTGACATATAGATATCATATTTTCCCAGCAGCTTTCATTCAGAAGGGAATCTTTTTTGGGGTACTGGGGATTGAACTCAACCTTGCGCTTTCCAGGCAGGAGTACCACTGAGCTAAATCCCCAGCCCATAGAAGGGAATCTTTTTCCTATTCCTCTGCAGTGCAGTCTCTGTCAGTTAAATGTCTGAAAGGCAAGGATCGTTTTTTTGTTTGTTTGTTTTTGTCGGGGGCGGGGAGGGGGGGGATTGAACTCGTCCTTGTGCTCGCAAGGTAGGTGGCGGAACCACTGAGCTACATCCCCAGCCCGGCAAGGGTCTTTTTAAGTGTTGTATTTTTAATTCAGCTGGTCTGTTTATTAATCTCTTTGCCAGATGTATGCTGGTTTATATCATACAATTATGTGCTGCAAAGTGATGTTTTGGTTAGGGATGGATTTCTTTCATTTGTTTTGTTTGTTCTTTGAGGCAGGGTCTCAACTGTTTAATTTAGACTGGCCTTGAACTTGCTGGCATTCTTCTGCCTCAGCCTCCCACGTACTGGGATTACAGGCATGTACCACCACGCATGGTTTTTTAATAATGGATTGCTTTTAAGACAGTGGCTATAAGAAATAACATAAGTGTATGGTAGGCTGCCATCTGGTTTGTGTAAGTACATTCTGTGATATTTGCACAATGAATCATCTAACAGTGAGTTTCCCAGAATGTACCTTCTGTAAATGGAGGTGTGTGTGTTACAATTATATAATACATAATTAATATGTAATTCTTCATTATCAGATTAATTGCAACTCTTGTCGGTTTCATTCATCATTTAAAAGAACCAGCGCTTGGCATTGCTGCTCTCTCTGTGTTATGTTCATTTTCAGTATAGTTAAAATTTGTTCTTTTGCTAAGGACTGTCTTCGCTCTTCTTTTATAAAATTTAACTTTTTCTGAGCTACTGAGAGTTCATTAGCTAATGGATTCTTAATTTCTTTTATTTACTTAAGTTGGTATCTTTCCTTTATAACCTCGGGTTTACGTGCATCCTACTTTTTACACATTTATTGAAATATTGACATAAGTATAACTGACAGATTTGTTGAAGTATGACTGACATAATCTGCATATATTCGAGATATATTTTATCTTTAATATATACAAGCATCCATGAAGCCAGTACCACAGTTAACATAATTGACCAGTGTGTTTTTGTGTTTGCTAGTGCCCTTCTCTTCCAGGTGTATTAATTCCAGAGTCCTCTGTAGGATTCCGAGAACATCTATCTGTGATACGTTGTTCATTTTTTACTCGGCTCGCTTACATTGTATTTAAAGAGCTTTGTTAGAGTTCATTAATTAAACTGGGAAAGGACAAAGAAATTGAACCTCAGAGAAATATATGCAAAAAAGGTAAACTTGGCATGTGGATAAGAACACGCCATAGCCCCTTAGAGTTATCTTGGTTTATTGCACATTTGTCTCTGACCTTGCCGATGCCCTAACACAAAGAGCTATTTTTTTTAAATGGCTTCAGTTAACCTTGAAAGTGGCGAATGGCAGCGTGTGAGTGAAGCTGGAGCTGCCGTGGAGGCTCGGGGAAGTTAGAGAAGCCCGGAGCTGGGAATATGTGCTGAGGAAAGTCGTAGGCCGCGAGCCGTGCCAGCCTTAGATAGGGCGGGTGCAGTGCAGCTGGAAGGCCGTAGAAGCTGGGCTCACCAAACCCTTGGAGCTTGCATCTTGCCACCATGTGCCTCGGATGAGATGCTGATGTGAGTCTACAGGAGTTAATGTTTGCCCTGATGGGTTTGGTCTTGTTTCGGTCAGATAGTTTTCTATTTAATCTATTCCTCTCTTTTGGAATGGTGACATCTGCTCTGTGCCATCATGTCTCGGGAGTGTGCAGTTTAAGAAGGGCTTACACCTGAGAGTTGTCTTCAGTCTCAGAGACCGCATTTGGACTTTTTTAGCAGGCTGGAACTGATGAGATTCTATGCATTTTTCATTGTACAGACAATATTATCGTCAGTTGGGCAGAATGATGACCCTCCTGTTGTGTTTATTTGGTAAATAGTTGTCTTCCAGGGCGATGTGATTCAGTGATCGATCCTGATTATTAATCTGATGGGGTTGTAAGATTCTTAGGTGGTTGAATCATGGGGGTTCTATCTTTATCAGCAGAATAACCCGCTCGTGAATTCCTGGCTGAATAGGATAGTCAAAGGTGGAGACTGATGGAATGAAGTAGGTCCCTGGCGGCATGCTTTGAAGGGTATCATTTCTCTGGCCTTTTCCTTTTGCTGTCTGCTTCCTGGCTGCCATGAGATTTATAGCTTTCATGCACCATACCATTGTGCGTCATGTTTCTGCATGGAACCACCCAAGCAACAGGACCCATTGAAACCGTGACTTACAATGGTTTTCATCTTTAAGGATTTTTCTCAGGTATTTGGAACAGCAGCTAAAAGCTGACTGATACATATGTGTTTGATAGTGTTTAATTACAGTAGTTTAGAAATATTTATCTCTTCAAACATGTATCTTTATAGTAAAAACTTTCAAATTCCTATCTTGTAGTTTTTTAAATGTACAGCAGTACATTATTATCTATAGTTAACCTGCTGTGCAATACCATATCAAATTTTTGTGCCTATCTAATTTTGTGTGTTTTTGTTTGTTTTTTCTGGTACCAGGGATTGAACTCAGTCAGGACCTTGCACTTTCAAGGCAGACAGCGAAACCACTGAGCTAAATCCCCTGCCCCTGTCCCTATCTAATTTTAATGTAACACTTACTGATAACTTTTACCCTTCCATGCCCCTACCCTGTGCTCCTGAGTCTCTCATCACAATT